CGGCGGCGGCGGCACATACATACATCATTCTGAGTGTTGCTGCAAAGCTCCCCAGTGACAGGCACAACACATAAAGCACCAACATAACAGTCACTATCCGCCCCTGTGCGGTTCATTGTTTCAGCGCTGACAATTTGACATAAATCTTAATGACGCCACATCGCCTGCTAACTTTATCACTTTTCGCATTTTGGGCCTAGCAATAAATTTTTTTTATTTTTGAAAATTGTTTTTGTGCTTTAGTTGGAATTTGCGGTCATTTGTTCGCCGCAGCAGTTTATGATGGCCATCAGTAATTGTTGCCTAAATTGGGTTTGATAGAATGAAGTTTTTGCAATTTATTTGCCTTTTCACCATACATTTGTATTCTAGGCGCCCCCAAATATCCGAAAGCTCAAAGACGAGCTTACTCAAAAGCTAACTCTTTAAATATTAAATTTTATACTTAGAAAAGCAAATCGAGGGCTTATATTCAATACCCTCTATCTGCACTTTTCACAAAAATGAGATTCTGATTTAAAAGTCCACCTAAGACTTAACTGCCACCGGTTATGTTAATGCTGACCATATATAATGCTTGACGGAAGAATTTACTATTAAATTGCAAAGTCAGTCTCTACACTCCTATTTGAAGAAAAACCTGCGAGACGAAAATTTTCGAAGAAATGAAGATGGCTATAGACGAGCATTTCGAATACAAAGAGGTTCCACCGCTTACCGCTTTTACTGAAGCCTTTCACTTACACTGATTCTTCGTTTTAAGGAACTTTTTTCTGTACCAAAGTGAAAATTAATTTCTCAGACGGCAGTAGGAATTCCAGGTGGATGGGCTAAATTTTGAATTCAGTTAAACTCGACTTTTTCGGTTAAATTAGGTGAATATTCTGAAAAAATTGCGAGACAACTTGTTTAGCTCAATCAGACTGACGGAGGTTCAAGCCGTCGTTAAAAGTGCATTGCCTTTGAATGCCTTGTAACGCTCGGATTTATGTTTTCAAAAAATTAACAATTATTTTATCTTAGGAATAATGTAACAGCAAACCAACTTCACAACAAAACAGACATCAGGCATAAAAAATGTAATAGTTGGGGGCATATGGAATTTTAAAGTAAGTGGTTCAGCTTGAAACGATTCATGCTTCCACATAAATATTTCAAAATCCCTCCAATTACTTGTCGTACAAATTTTGTACCATGCCCACATGCTGAATATTAATTATTTTCGCGGTTACACATCTCATTATAAGGACTTATCAATTTTTGCATACAAATTTTGGTTACTGCGATATTTCATTCATTATAGGAAGAAAGGAAGTAAACAAAATGTTGGAAGGGACGCTGTTCAGCATTAAGCTGATATAAAAATATTCCGACGAATTGATAACCTCATCCTTTTGTAGGTCGGTTAGCAAGCAATTTTTAAGCAAAAAAACAAAACCCAATTCAATTCTCGTATACAAGATTTAAGAGTATCGTTAACCTTTTCGTGATCCAATGATCGGATCTAAACAAAATCAGTGTGGGACTACCTCTTTAAGCAAATCTAAGTTTGAAGCAGCATGTATCGTGGCTAGCGCTTAGTTAACCAACTCTGAGCAGTTTTCTGGTATTGATATTTCTGCCTCTGTAACTTCCTGACTGACTCGCGAGGTTTCATCTTTTATTACTCAAGGTCTAGTGGTATCACGAAGGGCAACCTCTACATATTTATAAGGTCCAAGCGTGACATCAGCTGTGTAAAAACTACCACCTAACTCAATCTATATTAACTTTTAATAAGCTTTGTGAAGAATTACATCCTTAGTTTTAGAGCATACTTTATACGAAGAAATGTCAATGCAATTACATATTACTTGTCAGAATAGAAGACTTTGCAGAATTTGCGCTCAAAATCTAAGAGATCACAACAAACGCAAGAAAAGTGCAAAAAGAAGTGAATTTTTTCAGGCATTCATAGTTTTCAGTTATTAAGTACTTGGAGACCCAAAATAACCTTCCCTGTGTTTCTTTCGAGGCCTATGTGTCCATTTTCTTAGGCCTCGCCAGCGCTGCCATCGAATAGTTGCAAAGTCAAACAAATGAAGCAAAACGCAAATTATGTAAATCAAAAACTAAAGCGATAAATAAAAACAAAATTCATTTTTTTTTTTCAATGCAAAAGTTGATTCGTTCATTTTATTAATTTAAGTAAAAAACAATAGCATTTATTACAAAGTAATCATAACCAAGGTTTATTTTTCATATAAATTACTAAAAGCAAAACTAAATGTTACATTTAAATTCAAGTTTAATAAATAACAGCTTAAACAAATTAAAAATTAATTAATGCAATTTAACATAAACTAACAGGTAGGTGGTAGTAAGCAAATGACATACAAAATTCACTTACACGTATGTATGTGTGGGTTGTCTTTTGTGTGTGTGTGTGTGTGTGTGTGAAGTAGTTAAACTTAAACAAAAGTTCAATAAAATACATTTTAACAGATTTCATAGAAAACATTGACAATTATATAATAGAAATAGCAAGAATTACAAACACAATAAAGAGTTTTTTTTTTTGGTGCAACAGAAAAAAAAATATTCACTTCATAGTGATAAATTACAAAAAAATTTCAATGTACAAAACAAAAATATTAGCAAAATATTTGCTTCATTGCAAACCTAAAAGGCTTGGCAAAGATGTGTCGTCTTTTGTGTTTAAATTGAAAAAAGAGCAAACAACAACAAAAAGTATTCGTACATAAAAAGTAGCTAATCAAACTGGGATTTGTGTTGTGTGTCTTTTTGTCGCTTAGCAATTCCACTATTTAAAACATACGGTTGTGTAACAAACATAAAACAACAACAAAAACTAAATGCATGCACGCAAGAATGCAAGTACATATCGTACATCGTCTTCAAAAGAGTCACAACTCAAAATTTGGCATTTTTGAGATTATGCACTAAAAATGTACACAGACCTTTTATTTAGCTTTCAGCAAAAGCTGGAGCAAATTTTTGTTATAATTTGTTAAAAAACCTAAGGTAAAGTCGTCCTTGCCCATATGATTAACATGTGCTACGAAATAGTTTTTCGCAGTTTCTGACGAACGTATTATTTTGAGTTGTGACTTTTTTGAAGACGGTGTGCGATATGTATAAAGAATGCCTTAAGAAAGAAGGAAACCAAAATTGTTTTAGTTCATTTTATGAATCAAAATATAAATTAAATTTAGCTTTTTTAAAAATAAATTAAGAGAGTCACACGTCGTATTAATTAAATTAAGTTTTAGGAATTTTTGTTTTTGTTAACCAGCTTTAAGGTCTCTAGGTATTAGTTGGAATTTTTTTTTATTGGACTTAGAGCGCTGCTTCAGCGTTTTGAGCGCTTGTGAGGGGAAAGAGCGCGTCGTATTCTTTGTCTTTTGTCGCTTCGTTCTCTTTTTGTCTTCACTTTTTCGTAGTAATACAATTTTTTTTTTCTTGCATTTTTGTGTGTATTAGGCCTACACTCCTTTTCCACTAGCAATAAATAATAATTAAATATATTTTGTAACTTAAATTTAAGCAGCTTACAAAATTAGAATAAATTACTAACGCATATCTACTACGATGCCATTTAGTTGGGATTTTTACCAATAGAAATTATGCTTAAAATTAATTTGTGGGCTTTTCAAATGTGTGTGTCGATTATAAGTTACGAATTTGTTAACTTAGATTGTAAAACTAATGAAATCCAATTATTCGCTTTCAACTATGTAATTAGCAAATGATTATTTAACTTAAAATTAAAGTTTACATACATGTGTCAATAAGCTCTTAATTTACTTGCTTGTTTGTTTGTTTCGTCGTTTCGTGAATGTGAAGAAAACCGAAATAGAGAGGGAGATAAGGAGAGAAAAATGCTTGTGCTTGGGAAAAAACGAAACAATGCTGAATTGCCGTTCACAACCATTTCACTTAAAACTAAAATTTTAGTACGTAATCGTACTGTTAATAAGTTAAAATATCAAATTTGGCCTCAATACCGACAACGCCGACGAATGAGCGGATGCTCAGTGAGAGGAAGCGAATGAGAAAGAGTTTAAGCTAAGCCAGTCGCCATCGAAATATATCCCGTTGGTGAAGCTTTCTAAAGCTTTCTATTGGTAAGATACGAACGCGCACAAAGTGAAAACTCTCTCTCTCATTGCCGCTGGTGTAAGCTCTCTAAGCGTCACGCCGAGTCACCTCCGAGCGAAGCTTTCAATTCAATTTCTTCGTACGCGCGAAGCCTATTCGATTCATTCGATTATTCGAGTTTAACGAGACTATTCCACATCTCACTCGCATCTCACCGCCACTCAGCGTCAGCTATTTACACTTAATAAACTATACATACAAGCTTGCACCATTTCAAACATTTTCTTGTAGCTTTCTTATGTCTTCTTTACAAAAAAAAAAAAATACACCTAAATTCATTACAACGCTTAAATTAGTCTCAGTCTTTACAAAGAGATTTCACAAAAATAAAATGTCCATTTCATCCTCTACATACTTTACAGTTACTTTATCAACCCAACTTAGCTACTCTTTACGCTTACTCTGTATAGTTAGTAGACATTCTACACTTCACTTCACTTTTCACGGATATCATGTGTATACACTTCTAGTAATCTCTGCTCTATAGCTCTCCATAGGAGAGCCTTGTTCTACAGCACCTATGCCTTACAGCCCCTATAGGTATAATGCCGCCACTAGGCGCTCTCTGTTTTCACCACGATCGGCAGTCCGCCGCCGATACCGCCGTGCATTGGCGATTTACCCGCCAGCTCTTCACTTTTCAACAGCAACGGTAAATTCATCTTCATATCGCTCAGCAGCGGCAAGGGTGATTTCGATGGTCCACCCGCTTCACTGTGGTTGGAACCACCACCGCCGCGCTGTTGCGACTCGTAACGTGTGTGCGTGCGCATATGCCGCGTAATCATGTCGCGGCGGCACGCGGCATACGGACATTGTGGACACTTGTATGGCTTCTCGCCGGTATGGGTGCGCTGATGGGTGGACAAGTGATCGGAACGTGAGAAGACTTGACCGCATACTTTGCAGGTGTAGGGCTTGACGCCCGTGTGCAGACGCATGTGGCGTGTGAGCATATCCGAGCGAGCGAAGGAGCGCGCACACACCTCGCATGAGTAGGCTTTGGTGATGTCGTTGGCAGGATTGCGCGATTTGTGGCGCGAGGCCATATGCTTGGCAAGGCGATCGTGCAGCGAGAACATTTGCCCACACACAGGACAGACGTAGGCGACATCCGAACCGGGTGGCATTTCCTCCACCACAGGGGAGACGTCGAGGTTGTAGCGCCAGGCGACCGATTCCTTGGTGGTGGGTGACGCCACATCACCCTTGATTACAGGCACACCCACGGTGGTGGCGGACGCATGCGGATGCAATGGATGCATTGGCATTTCGAGTTTAATCATCGCAGCGGCAGCGGCTGCGGCGGCGTGTGCGGCGGCAGCAGCAGCAGCGTATGGAGAAACGGGTGCTGGGGAGCTGGCAAGAGGAGCGTGATTGCTGTTGCTGACCATAGACGATTTCTGTGAGCAGTTGCTTGGCGACATGGAGGCGGCTCGAACTGTTGCCGAGACGGGCTGCTGCGCTGGTGGCAACATCAGTGTGGTCGCCGGTAGGGGCGATGGAGATTTGTACTTTTTGGCACCCAGCTCGGAGGTGGGTGTGGTGCCACCGCTGCGTACCGACAGATCCAAGGGACGATCTTGCGGTGGCGGCATGATGGCCGGATCCGAGGTGTTAGCTTGTGTAGCTGGTGAGGGGCTGCAGCGCGTATTGGCCGTTGCAGTCGCAGTGACCGACGAATCGCTTCGTGGCGGTGAAGGGAGTGCGACGGTGACGGCTGGCGGCGGCGAACGACCGGAACCAGCGTTGGCGACCTGAGCAGTGGCTGTCGACGTGGGAGGGAACGGAGGAGGATGGTCCAGATTAGCACCCGCATTCGGCAAGCTTGTGGGCGAAGTCTCATCCGCGATTGACGAGGCAATGGAGGAAGGCGTGTGCTGCATGGGTGACGTGTAGAGATCCTGCCGTCGCCGAAATACTTCATTCAAGTACTTGGTGTGCAAGTAGTAGCCAAAGAGTGGTGACGGTATGGGAAAGTAACGATCATAGGGATTGTGCATGTGCTCAGTCTTGATGTCGACGTGCAGCGGGTTATCACTGGGAGTAGAAGTCGCCGCGACCACAACGGGGTGAGGCGCACTCGACGGACTATCGCGTGAAGAGACCAGCTGCAGTGGACTCATGCTGATGCGGGGACTGTCGTTGTCATGCGACAGGTCTTCCGACACAGCGTCACATTCAGGCTCTTGGTCGGCTTCATCGCCGCTCACTTCACTAATGGAACGTTTATTGCTCACTGGCACTTTCCCACTGTCTTCGCCGCAGTTCTGACGCTTCGAGCTCACATTGTGGTTGCTGCCCATACTGTTGTTGTTAGTGCGGTGCTTGTAATTAGCCTCATTCTCGACATCCTCATCGCCATCCAATGGCTCCTCATGGCTGTGATTGTGATTGCTGTGGTCGCCAACGTTGTTGTTGTTATTATTATTGTTGCCACTACCATTGTTGGCGAATCTGTTGCTGCTGCTGTTATGGTTGTTGTGGTTATGCAGCTTATCCAGCACGGCGGACAGACGTTTCCGTTTGCGTTGCTTCCACGGCACATTGTTGTTGGCCACAAAGGGTTGGTTGTTGTTCACCTGTTCGGCGGCGACGGCAGCTGCGGCTGCTGCTGCAGCAGCTTGCTGTTGCATACTGAGCGCCAATGGCAGGTGCTGCGGCAGCGGATACTGCATGTGGGCAGCGGCGGCGGCGGCAGCAGCGGCGTATGGCGCATAGTGTGGATGCGGCGGTTGGCGCTGATGCAGCTGCTGCTGCTGATGGTGGTGGTGCGGATGGTGGTGCTGATGAGTCGCATGGTGCTGATGGTGCTGATGGTGGTGATGGTGATGATGGGAACCCGCCTGATGCCCCATGGGGTCGGTGCCTTCTGCCATAGTCATCAGGTTGCCGCGTTTTCGGGGAATTTGCGATGATTAAAAGGTCCGCCTTGCGTCGAACTAGAACGAGGTGTCTGTGTGGTGTCCGACCAAACAGGGACGGTTTCGGCTCAACGACAAATGAACGGCAAGTGTGTGGCGGTGCAACGTTGCATTTGGTGCACTGGAGATCTGTAACAGAAGAGAAGACATGGTTGTAAATAAGTTGAAAGGGTTAAAGTTTTAATTGTACAAGTACAGGCTGACACTACGGTGGCATATTGCAATGCCATATATTCGAATGTAGATAATAACACAGAAATCAGTGATGCATCAAAAAGTCAAAATATTAAAGTTTCCTGTCAACAAAAAACTGCATTTTTTTCTCGATCTCTTTGTCTTCTTTCCATTTGGAAACAATTTGCTGCGCGTTGACGTTGGCATGCCCCCAAATGGCCCAACTGACCCTAAGGGCGCACAAACATAGGCGACTTTCCAGATAGTCAAAGCGAATCAGCGTGCGCGCAATAAATTCTGCACGAACATCAGTAACTTTTGCTTCAGTTTACGCTGCGTTGACTCGGCGACAAAATCTTTGTGCTGCTGCTGCCACACAGGCCATGCGTTGCACACAGAGGCGAGTGAAGCCATTCGATTACAGGCTGGCCGCCTGACTGCCTGCTCGACTGACTGGCTGGATACTTTATTTTTCCGCAGAGATTTTATGGTGCGCAAATTTATTATACTTGCCTGACCAGCCAGCGCCACCACATCGAATAGAGGTGGCACAAAAAAGCGGTGACACGACGGAAAGCATAGTGTCCGGCCAAAGAAGGAAGTCACTGCCGGGTGAGCGCTGGGTGGCGCTGGGACTGTGGTGCTGCTGCTTGGCTTGGCAGTTGCTGCTCCGTGACAATAGTTTGGGCGTAGTGCCAATGCCGGCGCATCCGGCAAAGTGTGATGAAATCAATGGACTTGCGAAGCTGGGAATTTTTATTTTTATGAAGACTAACAGCCAAGGCATTGGAGCTTGATGCGACAATTTATCGGCGCTTGTAGATGATACGAACTGATACAAATACAAACTACAGCAAGGAGTAAAAAAGCGTACAACTGGTCGGTGCTCATTCAAGCAATCAACACACTCTCAGCTGGCGAGGGATAGATGGCAAAACTGTAAACACCTCGAATTCAAGGTGACTAGCGCCCTAGCGAAAGCAAACAAAACAGCAAGAAGTTTGCAAGTGCGCACAAGTGCCTCAGTAGTAGGAGTGCGCCTCTTCCCTTCACTGGAAGACATCTGTTTGTTTATGCAGCTATGCAGGTGTTAGTGTAAACTATGACGACATTTGCTGCAATGCGCTTATCCTTGTGAAATATGGATATTTGTGTACTCACGTCCTCGCGCCATGAGTCCTATACAAACTTCAGACTTCAGGGGCAGCAAAATGCGAGGCAAATAGCATTTGTGGCAACAACGCCCGCAATAGACTCTCTGGGCAAGTGCTCGTGTGTGTTGCTACGAGTGCAAAGAGCGTTTTAATGTGCCAGCTAAACAGTCGGCTGGTCCTTGCGCCAACTTCTTACCCCTTTTCACGGCTTTCACTTTTTTCTTCCGTGCGATTCTTTCAATCTGTGCTGGCCGCCGCATGCCATATGCGCTGCTTGCAAAACACAAACACTGCACGGGCTGCAAAGGTTGCTAACTGTAAATATTGGCTTGACTGCTTGGCAGCGCGCAGGTGCGGACGAATGGACAGAAGATGGCCAAAGGACTAAAAGCTGGCTGAGAAAAAGAAGGTAAATATGGAGAGAATGAAAAAGTCCTTTTCAGCTTAACAAAGGCGTTGAAGGCAGCAAGAGCAACAACAACCCCAGATATACAATAGCGGCAGTGTAACAGCTAGTGACATGCTAGCAATAACAACAACAACAATAAAACTCAAAAATGACGTCGCACACGTGCTTGAGTCTCCACGGAACACACGGCAGAGGTCGAGGCATTTACAAAAGTCAAAAAATTATTTACCGACAGCGCAGTAGAGTGGAAAGTGTGTGTGTGTGTGTGTGTTTGTGGTGTTGTGGGTGGGTGGTTGGTGAGTTGCATGTGTTGATATGGCAAATTGTTAGCAGTTCAAACTGTCACTTCACAGCCACATCCGCAATCTCATTTGTTGATTGTGTTCAGCCGTGTTGATGAGGTTTAATGGAGTCGACGAAGTGCGCTAGTGGGCGGCATATGCGGCTGATTGCCACACGAATGGCAATGCTGGTTATTGTGGCAGCTCGTGCAACACCTTGCCTCCACCGCTGTGGTGTCTATTGCACCTTTAGCAGGTTGAATTCGAATTGTGTTTTGCTGGGCAATCAGCAGGATTAACAGGAATAGCATTGAGGTAGTTTGTGATGCGAATGCGGTTAGCCGAAAAGCATGGCGAGGACATAGCAAACTAGACGGGATAATATGGCGCGCAGGTGTCAGTTGAATGGCTGCTGCGGTTAAACGGTTAAAAAGTACATAATGAGCTGTTTGTTAGAGTTGTGAAGCTACGGAGTACAAGTAGCAAGTATCGAAGTGAATTAATTCATGCAACTTAATAATTATTTAATTCTTAAGAGCTAAGAAATGGAGGCATGCGAATATAGCGAATTTGCTCTATAATTAAATTCTCAATCAATCGCATGCAATTTCGGCCCAGTGTCCATCTTTTAGCAATGCTTCACACCTCCGAATTCGATCTGCAGCAAATAACAGCAGATTTCTAACCACAGTCACAGCCTCCACCGCAGACGCCGCCACAGCCACAACAGTGCAAATTTACGATCTTCGACAAACTTTTGTTGCATAGCCAAATATTTTAGCCTTCCACTCTACCACAAAGCTGTCCAACCGTTAGAATAACCAACTATGCTGTGTGGCAAGCAAATGAAGCGTTTAAACCCAAAAAAGAGGAGCGAAATGTATTTTTCGTCGGTGGAACAATTGTGTGACCAAAACGGCAATAATTTGTCTGAAATGAAATTTTGCATTTTAATTTCGCACAAATTTATTATGCGATGTATTGTTTTTTTTTTTTTTTAAGAAAAGTGGAATGGGAGGACGGTAGAATGCGTACATGCGCTTTCGATTCTGGTGCAGAAAATTGATGTTAGCAAATACTGATTTGCTGTAAATTTTAAACTTTTTAAATTAAACTTTCTGCTGATGGAAAATTACAGGTAAAATTGCACTTCTCGGCTTTGTTGCGCAGATTGGCTACAATAGGCGAGAAAGAGATGATTACAAAGGCATGAAAAGCAGCTCGCTTGGATATTGAAGGTGGACAAATTATTTGGAAATACGACATCGTACTTTTTGGGCAATAATATTGCATTTATAAGTATATATACTATACATACATAAAATTAATTTTATGGAAAGAAAAAACTTCTCACAAAACCCATTTGCTATTCGGTGGCGGTGTAAAAATGTAGGCCCCTTCATTTGTGTTAGAACATCAAGGCGCGCCCTACTTATTGGAGGAGAACCTCGGCCTTAGACTTTGCAAAAGTCTAAACGCCAAAATATTATTAATATTTTAAGCTACCTGACACCCGGTTGCACTAATCAATTTAAAATTTTAACACTCTGGATATGAGAGTGTTCAATAGTAGCTCTAAAAAATTTATAAAAAATTGATAAAAAAAAACAAATTCTTACACTGATATATTTTGTGCAGAGTTGTCACTTTAAAACTAATTAACCCACAATTTTGATTGCTAGCTTGTATTATTGAGAGCCACTTTCTTCATCACCTATTTGAGTGGCTACAAATATTTTGGCACTACAACAAATATTCACCAAATGGAAATTTTTTCAGCGCTTTTCAGTAAAAAGGAACAATCAACTTTTCACAGCGCCTAAACGGCGACGCCGTACTTCAAAAGTCAAATATTAACTGCCGCAGCTCAAATTATTTTTTAGTCACTTGCATTTTTTCCATTTACATATTTATGTATATTTTTTTTTTTGTATTTTACTTTTTTAATAATTGTCAAACTATTGTGACGACTTGACTTTTGCAGAACTGGCAATAAAAACGCCGCTGCCGCCGCTGCCGCCGCTGCCGCAGCCGACGCCGCCGCCGCCAAGCAAACAACGGTGCAATTAATAATCATAATTAGGGTAATTAAAAAACAACGTGCTGACAATCATGCCAAAAACTTTTGCCTTGCAACCGCCCGCTTTTAGCTAAAACATAAATGTCTTCATACACACACACATACATATGTACATATATGTAGTTATGTATGTATATTGAACCAAACAAAAAAGAAAATACTGAAATGTGCACCAAGGCGCAAAAGAACAACTTTTGTGTAATAATAAATTTTCGCACTTCGTGTGGCTGTGTGAAAATAAAAATGGAACAATGCTGGCAACACACAGGCAGTAAAGCAGAAATAAAACAAAAAAAAAATATAAAATAAAATAACTTTGGACTAGAATAAAAAGCGCAGTAATTGTAATAAAGTATTTTCTCTTTCATTCATTTGCGCATTGCCATTGTTTTTTTTTTTTGAATGTTGTTATTGTTTACTGTGTGCAAAATGCCACTAAGTACTACGCCTTCGAGCAAACTTTTTTATTTTCATTTTTATTTTTTTGTTTCTTTTATGGCCATAAAGGAAGCTCAGCGGCATTTCCGTTTCTCTTTTAGTGGAGTCAGTTGCTTGGCGCGTTGTTGTTGTAGCTGTTTACAATAAATTACTTGACTCCTTTGGGTTTTTTATAATTTCAGTGCCTACAATTTTTTACTCCTAATTTTTATTTTTATTTTTTTCGAATACATACATAATTTTTCATAATTATGCTGCAAACTTGCAAGGACCTTGCAGCGCAAAAAATGGCCGAAACAGCAGCGGGCGCGCTTTTTTTTTAAGTTTTCTGGTCTGCTTCTGTGCTTCTGCTATTTGCTCCCCTTTTTCATTTTTTTTCTGTTTTCTTCGTTTTTTTTTTTTGTTTATATCCACAACTCAGCATTGCTTTTTGTGGCTGCATTTTCTCTTTGTTGTGAGTACTTCTTTTTTTTTGGGTTTTCCCTCCATTCAGCTACTTTATTAACCGACAATCCAGTTGGAGTTGACTACTGGCGTCTGTCTACTTTGCCAGGCCACACACGCACACTTGCACACATACATACATACATACA